AGGGAACGTTGTTCCTGTTCTTCGCGGCTTTTTTTTTGCCGTCGGGGCTCAAGAAAATTTTCGCGCCCTCCTTGGCTTTCAGAAGTCACTAGCCTCTAGGTGAAGTGCCCTTGGCAATGTTGGCCTTTGATATAAAGGTCGTGAAGTGAGCTTGCAAGAAATAGTCGCCGTTTTCGATCCTCATTTCGTAGCTGCCCGTAGAGACCCTGTGTGATAACGTTTGCCGTGCGATGAAGGTTGAATGGATGAATCGCTGGAGCAAAATTCTGCTTTATTTTATTACGGGGAAGGAAGGGAATGTAACAAATGAAAAGTTTAGAGAGGTTCTCCAAGGATGCGCCTCTGTTCTCTCTAACTCAGCTATGTAATTATGACATTACGTTTTCATAACAAAAGAGGATGAAGTACGATCTCGCAGCCTGCCTCATTCTCGTCATTTTCAAACGAGACTCTCATTTGCCCACGCACGGTTTCAGGGCTACTTCTGCGTAAAATTTCATCATTCTCCCCTTTCTCTGCAAAGCTTCCGAGATTTCTTTGAACGTCCATCTGTGCACTCATCCATCCCAAAGGATGAAAGCGATCCTCCTGCTTTCGCTTTGATGCGGCACGGAGAGATAAAAAAAAAAGCGAGTGAGTTCGCTATTGGCAGAGAGGAAATGGAATCGGCGTTTAGCGGCGTCCTTGCCGTCCGACTGGGACCGAGGGCCGAGGGCCAAGGCCAAGGCCAAGGCCAGGGACGAGGAGGGGGAATGGGGTTAGCATAAAATGATTAGATTGTTGCTGCAGCGAGATGTTCCAAAATTGCCCCCCTCCCCCCCCCCTTTCCCCAATCGGAGGAGGGATTGAGGCCATTCCCCCAAAAAGGACTCGGAGAAAAAGGACTCGGATGGCCCGAGAGCTTTCCTTGGCCCTCGCCGGATGTCTCTCGTGGGGCGGTGAGGGGCGAGTCCGAGTTCCGAGCTCGTTAACCCTTTTGCGGCGGACCATTTTTCACTATCCGGCATTTGCATTTTTCTAACGAGAGCGTGATCTCTCGATTGCTTTGGTAATTAAGCCGTAACTGGATATAGTAATTGCTTTTTGAACGCGGTAAACACCAAAATTATCTTACATATTTCCGGCACGACACGGCCGTATTTTCCGGGAAACTTCCTACGAACGCGTGCAGGCGCAATCGTCGAAACGTCGAAGAGAAAATGGGGACTGGGCATCCGCATCTATTCTTGCTACAGGTCTCTTGGCATTCGATGCTCGAGCTATGAGATTTTCCCGAGGATTCGGTAGACGGAAAGTGAGTATTGGACTCGAAGGTCCCCTTCTCTCCATTGCTCAATAACGTCTGCGCCGTCGTTGAGCAATGCCTCGAATCACCAGCAACCACGGGACGAAAGGGACGGGTTGGAGATGCGGGGGGTCCTCCCCTCCCCTCCCCCCCCTGGGGGGGGGGTTTAGACACGGAGATCAGGCGAACAATCGGATTCGACTCGTACGAGCTATTATGGGGACGATTTTGTCGCCCATTCGATTGGGCAAAACAGGAACTGACAAATTTTTAGCCGGGCCTCGCACACATTTCATTTCATTCTGTCGGGGATTCCTCGGTCGAGAAAAGCGTAACGATCGGATTTCATCGGCCTCGTCGCGACGATAAGCCGTCCATTGTACGAGCATGCCGCGTCGAGAAAATTTCTCGGACCGGGTGGCCCCATTGCGGGAATCTCGTTACTCGCCCCTAATAGTCCGCGAAGATAATTATCATCGACGTGCATCATTTGGACGGCGTCATTTTTCTTCGACCGACTCCGTGACCAGTCGCGGCGGAATGTAGTATAAGTTATATTCCTTTATTTCTGAGAACGTGATGTCTAATTAGTTTGAGACGAAATTGTGATGAGCCTTAAAGAAAAGTACTGAAAAGTTTCGGAATTCAGTAATCCATAGAAGCAAAATTTTCGTCTGACCTTTCTCTTATCTGCGAAAGAAAAAATGTAATTGAAATCGGAGAACTGTTTCGCGCCGCTATTGCGATTGAAAAGTTTCCGCGCTCGAGACTCGGACGACTTCAAGGACGACTTCGAGGAAAGATCGTGCGATTTTCTTAAGGGGCGACGTGGTCGTCATTCTGATCGTTACGGGCCGACGAGGCCAGAAGCAATGCTTCGTCGAGATCGGCTCATCGTGGGAGAGCGTGTGGTGTCGGTCCTCGATGCGATCGGGTCATTTTTCAGAGAAGATCGCTAGGACTCGATCGAGAGCGCCACGGAGAAGTCTCTCATGCGACGGCAGAAACGGCACCTGCGACGAAGCTGCGCTCGGAGCTTCGTCATGCCGCCATTCCAAAGAAAGTATGCAAGCCTTCTTATGCGAAGAACGGCAGACGGGCGTTCGCAGACGGCGCAGATCGCGAGACCAGTCGCTTTCGGTCGGAAGGCGGAAAGTACGCGAGCGGTTGTTTCCGACGGATCCGCGAGCGTCCGGCGGCTTTTCCTTCGCCGTCGAACGCGATGAGAGAGATGACGCGGTCAGAAACGCTGGGAGCTTCTCTTTTCTTCTCGGATCCATTTTTTCGCGGATGATCCACGTCGTCTGCCGTGCTTCAAGGCCGACGAGGATCCGTCGCTCCGGAGGGGATTAGGGGCACGGGGAACCCGACGATGGCCTGCGGTGAGGTGCGACGAGGGCCGACCAGGGCCGACCTCTCTGCGAAACGGGAACGACGCTCGTCAGAATGAAGCTGGCATACACGTCGACCCGAACGAAAAAATAAACACTCGAAAAACATCTATCACAGTATTCCAAACGTACTCCATTTGTCATCTCATAACATTCTCCCTTCTGAGGACGATATCGAGAAAGTTTCCCGTTTCGGTACTCTTCGGTCTGGCGCTGGGCGGAGCTTCCTTCGTTTTTTTATTTTTTTTTCCCCCTCTTCTTGTTTATTCTCGAGTAAAAGGAACCACCGCGTCATCGTTTCTCATCCCGAGTTATCTCCTGAATTATCTCCCGGAATCTCCTCCGGAGCTTTCCCATGTGGCCGGTGCCGCTCTAACGGCTCGTCGTCGAGAGACCCGTTTCGCCTGGGAGCGACGTCGGAACGCTTGTGATTCGCGGATCGAAATGAACTCGTTTCGCGACCGAATCGCGTCGCGGGGGAATTGCGATGGGACGAGGTGAGACGTCACTTTGAGGAAAATTGCGGCACAAAGCGACGCCTTATTGCGTTCGCGATGTCGATGAGATCGCCTTTCCTTTCCGTCTCTTTTCAATCTCGGGGAGCCTGCTCGGCATTTCGATTCGCATAACACCTCGGCGGAACGAGTGGGAGATTTTCATGCTCCCGCCCCGTGCTCGTCAGCCGATCGGGAAGATCGTCAGGGAGCCCGTCAGGGAGATCGCGTGTTTCCTTGCACGACTCCGTCCGCGTCTGTCCTCTCTCGTAATGGCATGAACGATTGCGTTTATTTTCTCTCTTGCTTTTCCTTCTCCTCTCTAATCGCCCCACGAAAAAGCCTACTTCGGGCTGACGCGTTGGATCATCTGGTTATTTTGCAGACTCGTATTTTTTGCATTACGTATTCCGCACGTGTCCATTCTGCCTCTTCGACTGCACGGTCCCGTACCTTTTCGGTGCATCGAGTCCTTGCGTCGTTATGACGAAGCACTGATTCCTGAACCTGTTCACCGCGATGCGATCGTTCCGTTCTAGTATACGAAACGGAGCGTCGATCGGACGCGGGGATTTTTCCATCCGATGACGTCGTTGCAAAATCTCCCGTGAAATTTGCGCGTACGTTTGTTTAGTCTGTGTGTCGGGGATGGCCTGAATTTGTCGGAAACTGTGCCATTTCTTCTCCCCGGCCCGAAGAACCCTTCCAACAGCGTTCCATGGAGGAAACCTTTCACCTCTCTCGATGATGAGCTAATATAGGGGCATGCTCGTGCTCATTTATCGGCTTGAAAGGAATGCATGGAAACCGGGGAGCTGGTGTTCTCGCGGACGCTTCAGCCGCGCATTGCAAGGATTCGAAGGGAAATCGATAGTGGGCGTCTCAAAGGAGAGTGTTCCCGTCTTCGGAGGAAGTCTACTTAAGAAAAGAGGCACCTCCGTCCCTTCCTGGAGTCAAAACTACGAATGAACAAATCGGCAATGCTCGTTAAAGTGTCCTTGTCTCACTTTTGAGGATTTCCACTCACCACTCTCTTAAAATTTCATTCTCGCTTCTGGTCGTCCTCAGACTTAATAGAATCAGACACCTTTAAAAAAAACAGCGACTTGACATAATGATTCGAAGTTGGAAAAAAAATTCAAATTACGAGTATTCAGTCTCTAACCCGATTTCCGAAATTTCTCTCAACAGCAATCGAGGAATAGTCGGCGGCGGCGGCCTGGGCATGCCCTCTCGGTTCGGGGGTCTCCTGGGGAGCCCCGGGGGGTTCGGCGCCCTCGCCCACCCCGCGCTGACCCCGGAGTCCCTGCAGGATCAGGAGAGGAAGCTGTCGCAGATGATCACGCAGCTTCAGGTCTTGAGGGAGCAGCTGCTCTCGCAGCAGGAGCTTCAAGTCAAGGTTCGTCCCGTTCGATTTCGAGTTTCGTCGCGATGGTTAAGTTGAAAAAGTGGGGGAAATTTTCTCGGGAGCGGTGGGTCTCAACCGGTGGGTCGCGAGGGAGTGAAACTCACTAAAAGATGGAGTAAAAGACACATTAGAGTAGACAGAGCTCAATCGCAAGCGCCGAACCGAACGATTGGACGATATTGCAAAGAGCTTAACTTTCCAGGAACGATCTGATCTGCTGGGAGTGGTGTTTGCTGGCAACCGATTCCAAGAAAAGTCAAGCAGCTTTAAAATGTATATTTAATCATTTTTGCTTTTATTCATTCAATCAATTTTTTTTTTCGAGTCACACCGCTGCATTGTTTCTAAATATCTCTAAATTTGAGGATCGCATTAATACGGGAAGATGGTCGCGACATGAAAAAAAAGGTCAAGATCCGCTGAAAATGTAATCGTGCTCGGTCCTTTCCGCGACGGACGGATGCCCGAAAGCATTTTTCTCGTCGAGGACATCGTCCGGATCGAGTCCGCAGAGTGGAAAAATTCCAGATCGTTCATCAACCCGAAGGACGTAATCATGTCCTGGTACTTCTCCGCCGAGACTCCTCAGAAAGCGACCGGTAATTGCCTGTCGACAGTCGGTCTTCGTGCGGCAGACTCGTCAGCCCACGAGGAAAAAAAAAAAAGAAAGCCATGTTTCCAATCTCAAGTCCTACCGGCGAAATCGATCACCATTCACACTATATATACATTTATAAAAATAAGAAAAGATATCATGTGGGATGTCCATCCGGGGGAAGAGGCTTTTGTTGCTCGTTCTTGAAGACTCCGTCGCTTTCTGCACTCTGCTCGGATCGAAGAATGAGCCTTCAGCGCCAAATGCCGGGGTGGCGGGTCTGTTCCAGACAGATGTCTCGGGTCGGGGTCGTGTCTTTCTGCGGGATAAGTTTCGTTCTCGCTTGGAACAGGCCTTTCAGGGATGGAGGGAATTTTTCCGTTCGAGTTGCTGCCATTCGGGGAAGTCGCGGGGAGGGAAATGCGTTTCTGGGAAAGAGAACCGGGCCGGGAAACTCTTCCGGAGTGGGAATCGCTCCGAGGACTTTTTCGTTCTTGGAAAATTCCTCGAAACGGAGTTAGACTTCTCGTACCGTGTGGGGGAATCCCCTGCCAGACTCGTCGGATCCCTCATGGGGGTCGATCTCGGAATCGGTTTTTCCCTCTCGCCACCGCGATCGCCGACAGGTTGGGCAAGACTAAATGCTCGAAATAAGCCTGCCGCGGCCATTCACCGGTGCCATTCAGCTGCAGGTTTATTTAAATGGTATTTTAAACGAATAGGCTCGAAGTCCATTGAATTTTTTTTTCTCCCCGCTCTCAATGGCGAGTTTCGGAATGTAGGTCGTGGCACCGCAACTCGTTTTATTTTGTTGCTCGCACGAGTCTCGTTTGAAACTCGACACGATTCAGCCGCTTCGCTGGAATCTGGTAGGAGCCGGGGAGGAGCAAAAAAAAGGAGTCATAAGTAGGAAATGTAAACGCCAGAAGTGGGTGACGAATGTGCTCAGCACCTGGTCTTACCATGAAGAGCTCCTTTTCTCCGAATAAACCCTAATGTGTTTTTGTCTCCGTCTCTCTCTCTCTTGCGTGTGGATCTGTTTTTTAGGAAAAGACAGAAAAGAAGGAGCTTTTTGGTTGTTTGATGCATCTGGCGAACGTATGTCTCGGGCACGCAGTCCTTCAATTTTCGTTCCTTCTCCCCTCCCGAAAAAAAAAAAGAATCCTCTCTTTCTGTCATGCATAGACACATGCATGGCTTATACATACTCTGCACCCTTTTTGCCAGCACATGTTTCGTCGTCTTTTCCCACATCTGGGAAAATATGTGCCCACTTCCTTTTGTCTGTCTCCGATGTTTCTGTCTCGGATTGTTTCTCCAGGCGAGGGAAGGCCCCGCGATTTTTTTCCTTTTTCTCCCCTTTCTTCCCTTTCTTCTCGTCCGTCTGTTTCGACACAGGAAGCGCAATGGCGTCTGTATGATATGAAAGGGTTTTCGCCAGGGCCCGAGGCGACGCAGGCTTTTCAGAGAAAGAGAATGAGCTCATTTGCGTATGCATGACTTGAGCCTCGTCCACAATGGTGGCTGAGGAAATAGAACGTCCCTGTCCCTCTAGGGTCCTTTGTCCTTTGTCCCTCGCGTGAAGAAAGTCCTTTTCTTCTCGTTCACGGCCTCTGCCTTCCTTCGTTCCTTCCATACATAATAAATCCTATAGCCGTCTCCTCCTCCCCCCCCCCTTTTTTTTATGCCTATTGTGCAAGAGGTGGAAGGAAAAAGGCCCGCCCTCGGACCGTCGTGATTGGCTGAAGGAACACAAAAGCTCAGGTGCAGCCAGCCATTGTATGGCATCACCTCGTTGAAAGGGGAGGAGCTGGCCCTTGCTGACATCGCATTTTCTCCGCGGTCCTTTGTCGTTTGTGTGCTTCACGGGAGGATTGCCAATCGGAGAAACGATGGCATTATTTTTGGCGCTTCGGTTAGAGGTGAGCCGAGCCAGAGGAGGAAACAAAATGCCTTTCTCTCTTTTCTCTTTATGACAATCCCCGGCTGCATGGTGACAGAAGTGGCGCTAAATTTACCTGAGAGAGGGTCGACGGCAAGAAGCCTTCCGTTTTTTTTTTTTCCGTCTTCTTCCGACTCTCGAATGACACGTCAGCCACTCAGCCATTCTATTTCTTTTCCGTGGCCCTTTCTTTGTATTCCGGGTTCGCGACTCTCGACACCGAGGGGGTCGTAAGAGCCGTCTCATCGCCGTGACTCGACCGTTAACGACGCCTATCTTCTGGTTGCGGACAGCCTAATTAAGGGACCGAGGAGAATCTCCGTCGTCGCGATCCTAAGTGTCGTCGCGATCACACTTTTTGCTTATTTTTTTAATTCCTGCGATTCAGACCATAGCTGGACGGTTGTTTCTTTTACGTTCTAGGAAGTCATCTACTATAATTGGACTTTTTTTTTTAATTTGAAGTTTTCTCGTTAATTTGATGTCCTCTGAACCTGTTAGAGAAAAGTTTCCACAGTTCAGTGATGGGAAAGCCTGTCTACAAGCCTACAAGCCTGCCTGGGTGCTCTTGTCTGTGGAGAATTTTTTGTTGCAAGGGGGCAGCGCATCCTCGGTATTTTTTTTTTGCAGAGGCAGCGCATCCTCGCAATCTCTGTGAATGGGATTAGGGAAATCGGAACACTGCAGTGCAGTGTGCGGGGGGAAGCGACAGCTTGGGATTGATGAAAGATGGCCGTTTTTCTGCGCAAACAGGAAGAAGCGTGACCCGTTTCACCGTGAAATCGGCGTGCCGTTTGTTTACAAGCTGAAGCAAATCTGCGGTTTCCGAGGCCATGCAGAAAAACACATCGTCATAATGCGGCAAGCACATGTGCCTTTTTTTTTCCCGCTTCAAAGTCGGTGTCGCACGAGCGAAGCACGTGCATCCGTGTACCCTTTCCCCTATATGCACGAGAATGCGTACGACAGTGCAAACAAGATGCCTTTTGAGTTAATTAGGATCACGTTGCATCGCGAGAGGGGAAGAGGAGAGGGAAAAATCCTCCCCCTTTTTCTCTCTCGTCCCGATGCTCATTCATAACGTTCATATGCGTGTGTTGAGAAGTCAACAAATGATGCACTCGCCTTTATGGAATCTTAATTGTTGTCAAAAAAACTTCCCCCCCTCATATAATGGCTGTCGCCGTCATTTTTCTCCCTCTTGTCTTTCTCTGTTGGCATTTGCCTTGTACAGAATACCCGTACTTTAATGGCTGGGTGCCGAGGTGAGATACACGACGAGGCCATCCCCCGTGTCTCCTCATCCCTCCTGTCTCCTTGTCCCTCCCGTCTCCTCATCCCCCGTGTCTCCTCGTCCTCTGTGTGTCTCCTTTGACGCCAGAAGCCAAGGGAGATTTCCCTCGCCTCCTTCGTGGGCATTTCAGCTTGTATGGCGCGGAGATCGGGATGTTATGATCTCTTCCAGATGTCTTGCTAATGGTTTTCTTTCGGACGCTTATCGGACCGGCCGTGCTACGCATCTCTCGGGTGTATCAGAATCTATATTCGCAAGATCTCCCGATGATTCCTGCGTCTCCGAGATGGAGCAGTCAGGGCCAGGCTCTTTTTTCCTCTTTCCCTTCCTCGAACCCAGTCGGGGGGAGGGCGGAAGAGGACAAATGAGACGTGAGCTTTCGTCGAGTTTCGTGCTTTGGGACCCGGGAAGTCAGTATACAAAAGGACGGGCTGTTTAGAGAGCCTGGTTTCTCCATCATCTTTTGTTTTCTTGGCTCGGAGAAGACGTGACATTGTCCAGGACTCACTCCCTCTACGCTTTCCCATGCATTATCCCCCCTCGGGGTTCCCTCCCCCTCGCTCGTAGTCTTTCCCTTCCTGTGGGAAACAAGAATCGATAGGGAGAGAGACAAGAGAGTGTCCAAGCTGGCAGGCGTCAGGGGAATATATCCTCATATTGTATTTTGTGCCAATATACATGAGCCCCGGAAACAGGGGAAAGAAGAGAATTTCCTTTTTCTTCTACTACTTCTTCTTCTCTGTCTGTCATCTGTCTATTTTTACGTAGTTTCCTTCGTCTTCTCTTCTCCTTTGTTGCCAATTAAGAAGACCAAGAAGGAAATATCAGTGACCCACTTCGCGTTCGAGTGTATCGAATCGCGGACTGAAAAGGGGTCTTTGTATGAGGAAGTGCGGGAAGAACCCTCTCGACCTTGACATATCCCTTCCTCATTAGGGTTAAAAGTCCCCCAACCATGCATGAATGGTTATCCACGACCGTCTTCTTAAACTCAATTTTTTTTTCTTTTTTTTTTTGCCCTCTCTATAGCTACAACAGCACGAGAACAGCAAATTGGCAGCAGCCGCTCAGTTGGAGCTCCATCGACTCCAACAGGAACAATTGCAGAGGCATCAGGAGCAACTGCTCCACCAGCAGCAGAAGCTCCAGCAATTACAGGTAAATTCTTGCCATTATCCTTGATGCGCTGGGTCTGCATTGCCCTCCATTTACGCAAACACACTTACACACTTGTTTCCATTTTTCCATGTATACACAGCCTCATAATCGTGCTGAGTATTGGGGGCAAACAGGAAATCCGCCCCCATGAGGGAATGTTTGTATACCTGCGTGGTTTGATATTTGGCACTAGCACGTGTATTATCCATCATATGGACGTACGATACCTGTAATGTATCTACCAGGCCGTAAATGCATCTGCAAGGAAAGATTTCCTGCATGTCACTCTGCGGATGGGTTCGCCTGCAGCGCCTGCTGTATGCGCCTGAGATAATAAGAAGCCGCGATGAAACGGAGGGGAAGACTTCAACTGAGGCTTTATTAACTCGGTTCACAATGATGGGGTGAGGAGACAGGCTTACTACCCCATACCCATATGCCGTGTCTCCCTTATTAGAGAAGGCGATGAAGGACATAGTCAACAAGGCATGGGCTCGAATGACACTTCTCTTTCCACACCTCTACACCACCCACATGCCTCTATTATGACCAGGGCTTTCCTTTTTCTTTCGCTCTCTCCCGGCTCTCCCACCCTCTTTTCTAATTTTGGAGAAACAACAATTATTCTAGGTTAAATTTCCACGATTTTTTTCCCCAGCTGTCGAATTCGTGGGCATTGGGGGTGAGTCTCCCATCGTCGATATCTCCCCGTGAGACAAACCAAGCTCCGAAGATGAACCATCACGGTCACGGGTCACACGGGGAGGGGATGCCGGAGGCCCCGTTGAATCTGAGTAAACCTAAGGAAGAACCACCAGTGTCCCACGCGTCGGAATTATCGAGGGCGTCTTCGAGACCCCATTCCATTCCCCCTATACCGTTTCCCAAGCCCCATCCGAATTTCCTTCTCCCCCCTTTTCTCAACCCCTACGAGTCTCTGTCGGCGTTCACGCCTCACCAAGCCGGTAAGTGGCATGCCTCGCGTATAACTAGCCGAGGTGACACTTGAGTAATGTCAATATCGAATGCGTGTATTTTTTTAAATGGTATTTTATAGGCAAGCCGATGGTCCCGACGAGCCCGTTGAGCAACGGTTTTCTCACAAGCTCCCTGAATAATCCATTCCTGTCAGACAGGCCGTTCCACTGGCACATGCCGTTCACCCCATCCCCAATGTCCCCGCCAAATCCACCCAGGCCACGTCCTGCTTCGTCAGAAGACAACAACTCCAAGAACAAGGAAGACGGTGAATGCAAAATCCTTAGTCAAAGTAAGACATTAGCAGCCCACTTTAGCGTGGAATGCAATGTCCCAAAAAAAGATTCTTCTCGTTATGCTCATCCGTATTCTTTTTCTCTCTTTTTTTTGCTTAGGTAAAATCTTTGGAGCCAAAATCATTCGTCAGGGGAGACGGGGGGAGCGAGACGGGGAACCCCGTCCACACGTGAAGCGGCCGATGAACGCGTTCATGGTGTGGGCCAAAGACGAGAGGCGGAAGATCCTAAAAGCGTGTCCGGACATGCACAATTCCAACATCTCCAAGATCCTGGGAGCTCGGTGGAAGGCGATGAGCAACGCGGAGAAGCAGCCCTATTACGAGGAACAGAGCCGACTCTCCAAGCTCCACATGGAGAAACATCCCGACTACCGATACCGGCCCAGACCCAAACGGACTTGCATCGTGGACGGGAAGAAGATGCGGATCTCCGAGTACAAGACTCTCTTGAGGCAGCAGCAACGGATGGAAGCGAAACCCTGAGGTTCTATCTTACCTCGAACGGATGTGCAATAAATCGTGCTCTTTTTTTTTGCAATGATACAGGTCATCCTGTGTCGTGGAGAACGTTTAGCCCACCTCTGTAGATTAGAGATCTCAATTCGTGAATGTTGGATGTGAATGACGGATTCAGGAAGTAAAAGCTCAATTATGCAGACAGGCAAGAGATGGCTCTCGATTTAATCTCGGCAAGAATAAACAAGCAGCACATGTTCGCAGATGCAGCTTACGGAAGTATTACACATTCGGTTAACTTTCCCCAAGCACTCCATTATGCAGAAAAAGTGCAGTCTCACCCCACTCTCGAAAGGCACAAAATAGCGGATCTGGCTTGTATCGAATCCGGAAAAGATTTCACGACGGATTTTCCTCATTGAATCTCGTTCCTCTCACCCGATACAATACGAGACCCACAGCCTCTCCGAGCTAATGATTTCTGATGATTTTGATTTTTTTTTGCCGACCGTGTCCTTCGTCGGGGACAAAAGCCGTGAGAAAAGAATTACCGAAGAGAGAAAAAGCAGAGCCTCTGGTGAAGTAAGTCATGTCGGAGCATTCATTCATCACGTTCCCATATATCCCCATGCCCCTTTGTACCATACAAGGCACGGGAGAGATTATGACTTTTTTTCTTTCTAAGAGATCCTGCCGACGTCACCCTGCGTTTTATTCGCCGACTCATTGTATTATACACGCCGCATTTTCACGCCGTACACGACGACAGGTACGCCGTAAAAAAAAAGACGGATTTCTGGTTGCTCTTGGCAACCCCCCACCCGCAACAACACGTGGTTTTATGCCACCCATTTATAAACGCCCCGGAGAATAATTCAGGTGGCGAAACGTGCACCTGTCTCATTTCCGCGGTCTTCCACGTGTAACAGCCGACACCCAAGCCGTTTCGACGAAGCGACAGCCGACATCCGAGCTATTTCGACTAGGCAACGGCCGACATCCGAGCCATTTCGACGTCGTTTCGGAAGCTAAAAGGGACCATTATGGAAGCCAACGGAAGATCAAAGAGAAGAAGAAAAAAAAACCTTTCTGAATTCATATTTTCACTGTAAAAATAACACTTTTTAAGCTTAATTACTGACTGAACTAAATTCGATCCGATAGTTGCTGGGTCATCGGATGGCTGGAAATAGTCATGCTTGTGGGACCACTTTCCTTCTTAGTGCGCAATAATCGTGTCCCTGGACGTTAATCCCTTTCGGATCAGCAGTTTCATGACTCCATGAATTACTTGTAAGTCGAGTGGCTTCGTTCGTGTTTCCATTCGGTTTGCGCTCGAGTTTCCGGGCGATTTTTTCGTCTCCAGAATCGTATTTATTCGGATGTGTTTTTATGCAACTTTATGCATATTACTCTCTTTTTGTCACTTTTTTGCCGGGTTCACGCAAAAAAAGTGATTCTGCAACTGAATTTCGCTAAAATACAGCTCGAAATGGTTCTCCCTCGTTCTTTTCTCTCTTATTTATGCTATTCTTGTCAAAAAAGAAAAAGTAAATAGCGGTCCCGTCGTGCTACATTTTACTCGATGGCCCAGTATTTCCCAGAGCCAAAATCTCCCGAGCAGAGTCTCTTTACCCGGAACAAGCAAGCGGGACGAGCCAGGAAGAGCCAGCGGGACGAGCAAGGAGAAGCCAGCGGGACGAGCGAGGAGAAGCCAACGGGACGAGTGTCCCCAGGGATAAACAATGTGTTTGTGGGATGGCATCTCGACATGAGTCTTGTTTATGCGCTGGGGAATTGTTCTGCCGATCAGGCGGAGGATCTGCTCTTCGTCTCTCGCTTCCTTTGTCGTTGAGGAGTTCCCCCGATCTCGCCTTGCTTATTACTGTCGTTAGGCGACCCGAGACGGGCTAATGAAGAGGTCTCTCGGGCTTCTTGGAATCCGGGTCGGATTCGGTCCCTGGCCATGGGTAATTAATCTTTTTTTTATAGTGATGAATGATGAGATTTTATAATTAATTAATGATTAATTGATTTAAAATAATTAAAAATTAAATACTTCTGAAGAAGGTAAGAAAGAGCTTCATTGTTTCTGTTGCATTAGATAAGACCGAAGAAAACACAGCTTGTCAATAGTCTCGTCATTCAAAAAGACGTGCTCAATTTCGTAACAAAGAGGCCGTCTTTAAACCCGGAAGACTTTTCTTGGGGCGAAGAATCAAAGCCTTTTGGGCTTTTCCTCCTTTCTTCTTTTCAAAGCATCCAGTTCCTCTGCCTTGCTCGATTTCTTTGGCGGTTCTGTAGCTTCTGTTTCATCCTCGCTGTTTTCCTTGACCTCATTCTCCTTGCCATGGTTTTGGAGGAGATAAATATATTTCACAGAAACCACACGAGAAACCTCGGACACATCCAAGGTTTCTCGTGTGATTTCTTATCTGCAGTTTATCTGCAGCTTGCGAGTTGCGACTGCAAACGAATAACATTTGAGCGGGGAATTCAAAGCAAAAGCTAAAATATTAAAATATGAGGTGGGAGAAATGTCCTGGGAAGGGCACCGAGTAAATTGTTGGTACAAATTCAAATGCCACAGTACAAAATTTAATGTATGGTAAAGTGACGCTGAAATTATAGGAAAATTAATCATTGTTCATCATTTTCTAAAAAAATATCTTTTATTAATTAATTATTAAATTCGAAACAATGATTGACTGATTAATCATAACCATGCCCAATCCCCGACCATCTCATTCGATTTCACTTTTCGTTCATTTCTTCATCTCGGTGGCATTTCGTGGAGGTAAAATTTGGAAAGTAAACCTGGGAGGTAAACGTGAGGTTTTTCATGGTGGCGAGCGGAACGACTGAAACAGAATAGAATGATATTTGATTTTTTTTTTTACTTGCACCCGGTGAAGCAATTCAATTCCTGGAAAGATGCAAAAGCTGAAGGAAAACCTTTGAAACTGCAATTCCTCCCAGATTAAAGGCCCCGTGTTCCAGGCGAAAAGGAAATCTCATTCAATAAACTCATACAGCCATGAACCGAGTGAAATGAACCCAGAAAGCAATTCCAAGGCACCTGCAGCAAGGCAGGTGGTTCGACGGTTCCGGCCTCGGGTTCCCTGGAACCACGGGCTCGTGCCATGAAACACCATCAGGCGACACGAGAAGACTTGCAGGTTCGACCCCGAAATCCTCGAAAAAAAACGACTGTACCACCTCCTTTCCCTCATTTTAGCAAATTTCGCCGTGCATACAAACGCACCGACATCAGGCGACTGCCATCCAACCGCGTCCGAGTCCTCCAGCAGACGACAGCGAAGCAGACGACGCAAGAATGGGATGGCACCGCGAACTCCGTTCTTCTCCTCCAGTTCCGTCGCAGAAGTCACAGATGTCGGTTGCTTGTCTTTGTGTATTGACCGTTGCATTAGCCTCTAAGTCTTTTTTTTATTATCGAAGAGACTATATTGACCCGAGTAGGCCCAGTCCAGCGAAGGACCTTCCTTTCTTAAGTGTCATTTCCTTGGGGAAAAAAAAATCGACCTATTTCGAAATCTCATCGCGATTCATTCCTCGATCCGTTAATTAATTAATTAATCATTACCATTAGAGAAATTTGGGGAGGAGGTGAAGCCAGTGGAAGTGGGTGCAACAAAACGCGCGCACATTTCAAATCCTCGATCAGATATCTGCTTTTCATTTTGTCCTCCCAAAGGCCAAAAAAAAAAGTAATTATCGTCGGACAACGAGAGTGATGCAGAGACGAGACGAAAATATAAGCTCTCTCCCATTTCCATAGGAGACAAATGAAAAAATAAGGAAGAAAGAACCGGAAGCCCAACGATGAATAAAGCGATTGAGAGGCCTGTCCCCCAATCTGTCCCCATCATTTGCATAATCCGTGGCGAATTCGAGAAACGCTCGCGATCATATTTTCTTTTTTTATTTTATTTATTTTACTTATTTTATTTATTCAACGCAACGTTTTCTTTCGCGTAGGAGGAAATCGAATCCGCGGGGGAATCGTTGTTGCAATATTTCGTTGCGCTTTTTGTTGTTACATTCGGAAGGAAGAAGACGCGCGGGAAATAATAAGAGGGAGAAGGGGGAAAGGCGAGGGGAAAAGAAGTGGACTCTGGCATGCAATTGTTTGTTCAGGTGAACGGGGGGGTTTTTGTCGTTCCAAGGAAAACAGGCGGCTTTGTTCCCCCCTTTTTTTTTTTTTTTTTCTTCGACGCAAGTGTATCGAAACGGTTTTCTTCCACGTCGATATTGCACAATATGGGTGGAATCTCTTTTCTTCCTCGAAGAAAAAAAAAAGGGAAACCTGTTGAATGGGAAAAAGTCAAGGCGGGAAGAATGGGATCGACGAAACATCTGGCATTTCGGGGGGTCGTTCACCGTCTCGTTATTTTAATGGAAGGAATCCACAAAGGGACTCGCGAAGACGCAAAGGGAAAAAGAAGAAAAAAAAAATTTTTGGAAAGTGGGACGGAGTGGCCGCGATTGCAAAACCGAGCATGTTCGTCGAGGGAATTAATATTTTAATGCCAGAAGAGAGAAGCGTTTCACCTTGATGGCCCCGAGGGAATCCTCAGCCTTCATCAGAATGCAAATTTCATCTTTCCGTCTCCCTTTTATGTCTTTCTATTGAGAGAAACCATTCTCTTTTGTCCCCAGGAAGGAAATCCACTTTGGATCTTCCGTTGAAAGTCCGACGGAAATGGGATTAAAATCTCCCTCTCCCGTTTCTCTTTTCGGCTGTCAATTGTCTGCTGTGTCGATTGTCTGGTGTGTCAATTCTTCTCTTTCCCCCCTTGTCATCTTTCCTGCATGATCCTTCCCCCCCCCCCTGCCATTTCCCTGACAGGCATCGATTTACCCACACGATTTACCCTCACAATTCACCCACGCGATTTACCCAGTGGTTCATTCTGTGAATCGAGCGATGCTCATCGTCCTAAATAGACATCCCCCCTCCCCCCCCCCTCTCCTCCCCCTCCCCTCCCCTCCACCCCCCCGAGATGAT